TTGATGATGATGATGATGATGATGATGATTTGGATGAGGATGAGGATGATGTGATTCTTGATTATGTTGGCGAAAATGAGGATGACGACGGTGACGGTGGTGATTTTGTTGTTGTCGTTGTTGTTTACGATGATGACGAGAATGTTAAGGACAATGCTGCTGTGGTTGATAAAGAGATGATAACACTGATGATGAAGATGATGATGATGATGATGTGGATGTTGTTTTTGATGAGGATGATGATGTTGTTGATGCAGATGTTGTTGTTAATGTTGTTGTTATTGTTGTAAGATAATGATGCAGGTAATGAAGAAGTTCATGTTGTTATTGACAGATTGTGTGATTTTTTATTTTTTTCCATAGACTTGGTGCGAGGAGCTGTTTTCTCTGTCTTCCAACCTGCTGAGCCACAATCTGAACAGAGACCAGAGTCTGCTGAAAGCGTGAGCGCACACACACACACACACACACACACACACACACACACACACACACTGACACGTGCATGAACGAACACACGTGTCTGTTTAAACTTGTGCCTTAAAGGAAACAGTTGTTGTTATTCTGCATCAGCTCATTAATTTGCCGTTTATGTAAATGAAGGTTCAGACTCTGAGACTTGATGGAAACCTTTAATAAAACAGAAAACTGTGACTTTAATTTCACCGAATGCTGCAGCTTTATCCATCAGTCTGTGTGGGCTACATCTTTTCATCTGTTGTCATGTATAAGTGGCCTCTGATCAATGTAATTATTGTCTTTTATCCGCTAACTTGAATTGTTAAGTCTTTTTTTCCGGATTAGTCTTTTTGAGGAAACTCTAATACAAAGCCGAGTCGTTCTCTCTGTTTCAGGCACGTCAGATTAACTCTTCAGCCGAATGCAGAGGGCAGGATTCCTGTCAAGAAGTGAGTGATTGCTGATTATAATCGCCTTAACCTTCCGTCGGTGCGTCCGTCCAAACGCTAACTTCGAGGCACATGTTGCAGCCGGCGGCTGAGGCTGCGAAGAAACCTGCAGAGACTCGCACAAACTTAAACTTTGCTCTTTCCTGTCCCTCGCTTCCAAAAATAAACTTAATTCCATGTGCACTTGGGGAAGCAAAAACAGGGACAGGATTCATGAAGGTGCTTAATTCAGCACTGACCTGGTAATCAACTACTGCCGGAGCATGAGACGGGTAATACAGTTATGAAGGAAAGCTGTATTTTAGAAGCAAACCGAGAGCGGAATTAAGGTCAGTCGATATCTTGGAAGCCGAGGGAGTAGAGATGACGTTTTAAGAAAGCCAAGATAGTTTGAAGGAGACAGTTTGTGGGATGCTGAATATCACACTGAGGACGTTCACATTTTTAGAGTTCAAGGAGTTTGAAGAGGAGTAACGGAAGTAAACACTGGACCATTAGTACGAGGGA